TGTTACCTGGTATTTCAATAAAAGTCACAGTACAAAACAGTAGAGCAGTTGTTTTGACATACTTGCTTCTTTTTGTCAAGATCTCAGTACCCTATAGTCATGGTAACAAAATGACTCTTTAAGCTATTTGAATTCATGAAATGGGCGGTATCTAATTCCTAAAGTCTTCGTCGTTTTTTTTGAGTCCAGTCTTAACTGCGTTGACAGCCAATTGGTGAGACATATTTTTCCTTTTTCTCCTCCTAAGTGGTTTGTCTGCTGTTGGGTTCCCCAATAATGTGGATTTAATTAGGGATGAATGACAAATTTACCAGTTTGATTGAAGCTCTACTGTGTCAATGAAAATTTTCAAAATTTGGCATTGTTTTCAAAGTCTAAGATATGGAGGTTTATGTTGGGGGTGGGGAGAAAATACCTGAACTAATTGAAAAAATAATTCTTTCACTTTTTCACTCTAATGTTAATTATTTTTGGTCATACAAATATTTGAATGCCACGTAGATATATTGATTCAAGCACGCGCATTATCCGGTCATCCATATTCCCTAAACCCACGCCTTAATAAATGGGCGGAAGCCGAGGTTCTTCCAAAAGGAGCAAGTCCTCTAAAAGCCGATCTAAAAGTCGATCCAAAAGCCGATCTAAAAGCCCTTCCAAAGACAGAAAGTCTCCTGTCAAAAAGGCACCCGAGGAACCCAGCATTCCTATTGATTCAAGTGTACAAACTTGCCCAAATAATTTCTGCTTCTATTGTTGTTACCAACTAGCAGAGGATCATGATGTCCAGTCGCATATACTCCTTTTAGCACATGCCCCTCTCAAATTCGGTGATACTAATCTCTCTCACACATGTCGACGTTGCCAAGAAACCGTTCCTCTTAAATGGGGTCCAACCCACAAGTGTTGCGGTTTCAACTCTATCTACAATCAGCGCAATTTCTCTGCCTCAGTTATTCAAGGGGGAGCCCCATTTAGATGTCTCCTCTGTCGTGGACGTGCCTATAAATCTCGCAGCGATTTAGTGACCCATCTCCTTGCATTCCATCAGCCTAATCGACCCCAAGGCCAATGTGGTCTGTGCAACTTCACGTTTGAAGAAACACCTTCTGAAAGCAATGAAGATAATCCAGAACTTAAATCAAACGACCAGAAGCTTATTAGACACTGGATTGTTGAACATGCCCCAACTTATCGCCTTGTTTCACGCCAAGCTGTGCATGAAGACTCTGGCCTCCGTGTGCCCTACGCCTGCGTTATCTGTCGTCGAATATATCAGAATAATTGGGAGTTCCATGCTCATGTTATCTGTCGGCATGGAGTTAAACCTGATGTGGAATCTTCTCTATTCAAATGCTTCATGTGCCAAAAGTGTGCTAACTCCGAGGAGGCTTTTGATAAACACATTCGATTTCAACATTGTGATAAGTTTAAGTGCTTGGCCGAGAGTCTATTGAATAAGGAGATGTTTATGAATGTGGCTGACCCTGCCTCTACTTGTTCAATATGCTGGGAAAGTTTTGACGAGAACTTTGAGCTGCAAGCTCATCTTCTCACTGCACATGGAACTCCCAACTTTCTCCACTGTGGCTGGTGTAAAGTGGACTTTTCAAGGAGCTTAGTACCCTTGGACGCCTTTCTTGTATTTCTTAACCACGAACGAAATCATGCGAGGGAGCTGCAGTTGACAGCCTTGGAAATGCACATGACAAACAAGGAGTTGCCTGAGATTTTGCCTGATCATATGACTAAAGAATCTGTTCAGGCATCGTTGGATGCCCTGACTGGTCCAGCTGATGATAAGCAAGAAGGCGCCTCAAAGCGTAGTAAGAGCAAATCGTCTAAAAGTAAGAGTGGAAAGAGTTCGAAGTCGGGCGGAAGTAGCAAAGGAAGCAAGGGAAGTAAGGGAAGCAAAAACAAGAAGAAGAAGTAGAAGTAGTAGCATTTGAAGGAAACGAATTTCTACGATTATTTTGATCACTTTTATTTCGAGTTGATTAAATATTAACTAACTTGTATGTATTTGCCTATTTTTGCTCCACTTGACCCTGCTAGTTCTGTGTTGAATTATGGCTTTTTACGCATTTGTTGCCTACTGAAACTTTGATTTGGTTTAAACGTTACCATAACACCTTAGGCATTAGGAGAATGTGGATTTCCAAAGATAATTGAGGTAGTAGAGTTTGGTTAAAGTTGAGTTTTTGAGGGAGTCATTTCGTCAGCGTCTTCGAGTTTTACAAATAGTACAACCCCGGAGGTGCTTTGAGTACTTCGGCCATCATTGGATATACTAAGATTAGAGGTTGTGGTATTCATAGCTCCCACTGTTTACTGGGATGTCAATAACACTCATCTGGAATGCCTTACACAACTCGAGTTAGAAGTAGATTCACATATTCATGGAGTTCATTTGAGCACTTAACAGGCTGTCCTTGTCTGTTGTCTTGTGACACTGAGGTGACTGCCAAGGTAATCAATATTTATTAAGTCAGATTTTTATTCATTTTTACTTATTTGATTTATCTTTCATTTGTACTTGAAGTTGTTTAATTGAGAAATTAGTTTTCTTGAATCGTTTACTCCTTATATTTTCCTTTTAGTCACTCTCTCCTGAAAAATACGTCTCATTTCCTTCAAGAGTGACCTTCTTTTGGGCTACAAAGTGAGTCCTAAATGTGCAACATAAATACGCTCATGTATTCCTCTGGGTCTAAATTGCGGTCACGCTTGAAAAAGTTGTTGCCTAATTCGTCATATCTATGACGTATTCTCAATTTTTTATCTTTATTTTCTTAGATTGATCATAACTGGTTATCGAAATACCTTGCAATTGGGTCATCTGTGGGCTTTGGATTCAAAGTACCTCGCAGCTAATGTTGTTCCAGCCTTCCTGCGTAATGTTTATAAGCATCTTCATGTGGACATATCCGGAGAATTAGATGGGTAAGTTTGTTGGATACTATGAGCACTTTGAAGTTCACTGCGTGGATTAACTAGTACTAACCATTAATCTCATTTATAAGAATAATTTTGGATCCAGACCGACATAAGTTAGGTTCCCTTTCCTAAAGGTAAACAGAAAAGAACAGTTCAGAATGGAGGATTGAGATGGATCACTTGTGTATTGGAATGTGAGAGGGGAATAAATGACAGTGGGAAGAGAAATTACGATTTGGAAAGTGATCGAGAACTGAACGATAGGAACCAGGATTGTAAAAAGGAGCTTACTGACTTCTCATTTTTTGTTCCTCTGAATAACCAATAGAAATTCTGATTGTGTCAATGGGAACAGGGCAAAATTATGTGCCGATATGGTGGAATGCTTCGAAATCATGGTCGCTGGACTCATATAAGTTGGCGAAAGGGTTTGAATGACTAAATTCATTTATTATTGTCCTTTGTTTGCGGATTACAAATTGCAAACTTCACAATGAAAGATACTCATTGACCTCTTTGCGTATTGGTTGAAATACAGTAAAGAGGAAAAGAAGGAGGTGCAAGTTGCGAGTTGTTCATCAGATAAATTTGGGGTATCACTCATGAGCCAGAGTTTAGTGTTCGAAAGCATTCACCTATAATAGAAATGAGCTTTTGATGTTGAAGGAATAAAGTCGCCCAGCAGGAGGTAACTGAAGGTTGTCGATTCTATTCATGAAATCGTTAAATAGGAGCGTCTAACGTACTTCTTTGTTCTTTATCTCTTAATTAGGCAACACCTTGGTGGTTATCATTCGAGACAGATGGGTAACAAATGAGAAACAAAGAAAAAGTGTTTAATTAAGAAATGTAGTTTCCTTCCACCTGTTTCACACAACCAGAAAGAAAATTTTTCAGAATGCGCACTGATTTACTGGGGACAAAATTTTTCATCAAGGAAGTGATTTTGGTGCTTTTTATGTGCTATTTTGTAGGCTCGAATGAACATCTTACCGATTTGTTTTGACATCTTGCTCATAAAGCCCTGATTTTTCACTTGGTCATTTCTCGCCGATCTGTTCATCAAGTTCTGTTTATTTTCTTGAGAATATTTCGAAGCACTTCTCACGGATTAAGCAAAATTGTCAATCACTTTGTTTGTTAGTCCATTAACACGTTTCATCTTTTTATTGTTGAAGTTTCCCATACCTTGCAATTTGTTCGCAGATAGTTGATGCTTCAAATTGTTACTTGGTTGACGACTTATGAAGCCCAAAACGCTCCTATTCAAGGGAAAAACAAGGTTCATTCAATAAGAAAGTAAATCTAATTGTATGGAAGCAAAATAGTTAGTAAATGATAATTGTAATGATAGTAGTCTCAGTGTTCGTTTTGCACATCTAGACATGATCATAGAAAACGATAGTTGGGTGGGTGGGGG